GGTATCCCCGCGGTCTAACAAAAGGGTCGGCGGCAGGGGCGGCGAGCATATATCCGGCCAGGGGCCTGGCCGTGTCTTTGCCGTAGGCATCTCTCCTCTCCGGAGGAGAGAGGGCTGACCGCCCCTCGCCGCCGACCCCACAGGAATCGTGTGTTTTACAGTGTTTTCTGCTTCTTCCATTTTTCCGGCTTTGTGGTTCAAGATGGGTCACCATGGCTCAACATAGGCCCAAATAATGCTGGAAATGCGCGCCGCACCGGGGTGCTTCGTCTGCATCGTGGGCGGCTGCTGGGTTAACAACAACAACAACAACCACAACAACCACAACAACCACAACAACCACCACAACCACCACAACCACCACGACCACAACCACAACCACAACCACAACCACAACGACAACAACAACAACAACAACAACAACGACAAGAACACTACCACGACTGCAACAAGCCCTTTGCTTGGGCCCCTGGCCGGCTCGTAAGCCCTTAAATAACCTTCGGTTACCAACCGAAGGCCTCCGGCGTGGCCGGCGCCCGGATTTATGAGGCTTACGCCTGACAGCCGGGCGCCGGCCTATTTGGGTTTGGGTATGTGCAGGGCACGCGAGGTCCAACAAAAGGGTCGGCGGCAGGGGCGGCGAGCGTATATAACCTTCGGTTACCAACCGAAAGCCTCCGGCAAGGGCACGGGCCCGTGGCCGGCGCCCGGATTTACCAGGCTGGCGCTTGCAGCCGCCGACCCCCAGGCGCCAGACCACAGGTAGCCAAATGGGTTAGGATTTGTTTTTCGAAAAATCGGGGAACCTAAAAAAAAACGGAACCCCTAGAGACATGATCTGTCACTGCATCACCAAAGTAGGCAGAAGAGAGCACGGCAAATGGGTTAGCAATTTTCTTTGAAAATCTGGGAACCCAAAAAACAACACGGAGCCCCTAGACAGCCACAGAACTACCTAGAAAACCTCAAGAAAATCCTGGAAAAACCCTAGCAAAAGGCATGAAAGGCATGAGTAAATCTTACAAAAACAGCTGAAAATCCTAGAAGCCAGCGGAAAACGTTAGAAAATCTAGGAAAAACCAAAAGGCACTGGCAGGGACCAGCCCGGGATTCGAGCCCAGGGACCGTGCTTATTTTCCTGCGCGGGTGGAGAGGGTGCCCCTTCCGGCCCGGAATTCGAATCCAGGACCGCGCTCCAATCCCCGAACCAATACATTGAAGAAATCTTGGACAAATCTTGGCTACTTTTCGCCACTGCAACAAGGCTCCGGAGGGGTAGGGGAGGTATAGCCTTAATCATAGCCTTAGCCTTAGCCTTAATCATAGCCTTAGCCTTAACCTTAGCCTTAGCCTTAATCATATAGCCTTATCCTTAATCAACAGTCACGCCTCATCCCACGAGTGGGGTCGGCGGATACGTATGCATTCACACACACATACATATTTACATACGTGCATACATACATAGATTACATACATACATACATACATACAGACAGACAGACAGACAGACAGACGTATATACATACACACATACATACATACATACATACATACATACATTTGAGGACTCAAGCCGGTCCCATACAAAACCGGGCGCAGGCAGGTTCAGGGATTGGAGCCTACCCTCGAGAGCCTCGAAGGCACTGGACTCCCTTTGCCCGTGATAGTGGAGAAGGAGAACTACTTGACCGGAAACTCAACCTCAGGGACTCCTTGACCGTGACTGGTCCTACTTCACTGCCTCTGAAGTTAGCCTGAACGCAGAGCGCGAAGTGATCAGTGCCTTTCACCTGGCCACCGAGAAGGACCTTGTGATTCCCCGCATCAGGCACGATGACACCTTCCAAGACTTCATCCTGGTGCAGGAGCTACACGGTATGTGCACAGGGCACCTGCAAAAACCGACAAGCTCCAACCGGGCACTAGATGCAGCAGATGTGGCACATGGTGGAAGGCATCCACGAAGGCCACTGGCAAGGGCAAAGGACAGGGTCATGGACAAAGACACCTACCAATCAATCCAGGCCAAACCTGGCCCAAGAAGACCTACCAAGACGCCCTCATGGATACTCCGCCAGGTTTGAACAAACTCCAACCACCCAAGAAGGCCAAGGACCAACAGACAGCGGCTGAGCTCCTCGCCTCCACGTGGGATGTCATTCCGGAAGGGGTCCAAAGCAAGCTGCAAGCCTTGGGATTTGGACCATCGCAACCGGAAGATCCGGAGCTAACAGATCTGCTTAAAACTCACATGTCCGCTCTGCCACAGGCAGTTCAAGATGTCGTCAACCGCTTGACACAGCCCATCCGGACACGGAGAAGGAGATTGCGCAAATGCTCAAAAACCCAGGTGACGGATCTCAAGACCATCTCAATCCGCAAAACTCAGCTGCAAACCAAGCTCGATCAGGACGCCGCAATACGCCGCAATGCTCCAGGACATGCAGGAGCTCCAGGCCAAATTGACAGAAGGTCAACAAAAATTGAAAGACCTCTCCGAGCCGGAAGAGCTGTGCCAAGCAGAGCCAACAGACTTGCCAATCCCAATGGCAGTGGAAACTTTTGTTTCGAGTTTGGGAATCTCACGGACAGAAGAGCAGCGAACCCAGCTCCATGGCTTGCTGAAGAGGCCCAACCCAGAAGGGGAAGACCCTAGCAAGTGCAGGAAAACGGAAAGCGCAGCAGCGCCGCCTGCGGGGGGGTAGTGTGGGTAACGCAACCACGAATCACACAGGGGACCTTCAAGGGATCTGGGTGCCGGTGCCCCTTGATGATTTTGATGCGGCGCCTTTTGCCCGTGTCACGGCGCCGGTTCACACACCGGTTTGCCGCGCTGCACCAGGCTCAGCAGACCAGGGATATACGCAAATGCAGGGGTCCAAATCACACCTTCACTTGCCAGAACACATTTTTCAAGATCAAACGAGGGACACCTCAAGCAAAGCAGCAGGGGAAGACACTTCTTTGTACGATGAGGACAAGACCAACTTTTCCCAACGCAGTGGACCTTTACACCTGGAACCACTGTTGGAGCTCAACCATCAGCCGTAGGTGCCACTGCCATTGGGGTGCGTGGGCCTGAAGTCATACCCGGAGCGCGCGCGCCGCAAAGGTGGAAACCACTCCATCGACGCAACGCAGGATGCAGCGAAACTACGCATCCGCAACGGACTGCGTCCTCCAGAGCCTCTCCATGTCAGTGGGCAATCCAAGTGCCAGGTGCTATGCAAACGCGCCATGGAGAGCAGTGTAGGAATCCCTCGAGCTGGCGGAGGCTGTAGACCTACATCAGCTGCCAGGACTGCGTAGCCTATGGGCACGCCGCGACCTCAATGTTCAGGGTGATGCCAGCCGCTTCGTGAACTCTTTGTAGAATTTGCCACAAACCAGAGCTTTCCACTACAGGTATGCAGAGATCAGAGAAGGCGGGTTTCTTGTTGACCACATCCAACAACCCCTCCTGGTGCCTTACCCAGACGACTGGCCTGACAATGCCACCTTTCAAGAGTTGATCACTGGATGGTCCAACAATGGGATGGCCAATACTTGATGGATGACAAACCCGTGCTGATTTGTCATGACCAAACACTCCAAGATCCTCAACCCCACGGCGCTTTCAAGGTCCCAAGATCATTGGATGGCTTTGCCAGAACCTCCTCTCACTGCTCTTGGATCAAGGTCAACAACCACAAAGCAGCGTTCATTGCCACTGACAGCAAGACCAGCAAAGCATTGGCGCAGCAGCTAGGTCCTCCCCCCACGCAGCCTGTCATGAGGGACCCTGGCATCGACCATCAGGCAGGCAGACGACGACGCATTGCCACTCAGGCTACACCGAGGCGGCGTCCAACCTGTGGCACTATGGGGAGTCGAAGGCCAAGGCCTGGCGCCCTGCTATACAGGCAGATTTTACGTCAAGGCCTGGCTACGAGGTGGAAGTGGACATTCTAGCGTGCCACCAAGGCGCAAAGGGGCCGCGAACATGCAGGCATGGTGTATGTCAAAGCGTGTGAGCAGAATGGCAGTGCTGCAAAAAAGAAAAGAGTACCCAGAGGCAAAATCTCTCTTCTACGCCCTTGGTCGCTGCTAGAGGGATATGCAAGAGCGTCGCCCCTCTATATGTGGCAACGAAATCACAGGCGCCACATTTCCCGCGGATGGCAACTCAACAAGAGCCAGGCGCATGCAGGGCTCATGGAGGTGGACTACTTTTTTTGAAGCGGCCAGCGTGGCCTTTGACACATCGGCGGAACAGAAAAGGCACTCCAGAACAAGTACATACATACAGACAGACAGACAGACATACATGCGTGCTTGCTTCCTTTCTTATTTTTCTTACTGACTGGCTGACTGACTGACGGACTGACTGACTGACCTACTTACTTATCTACTTACTTACTTACCTACTTGCTTGCTTGCTTGCTTACTTCCTTTCTCACTTGCTTACTTACTTACAAAGATATGACAAAGATAGACACATACACGCATATATATACAATACATACATACATACATGCATACATACATACATACATACATGCGTACACATACATACATACATTCATACATACATACATACATACATGCGTACATACATACATACATACATACATGCGTACACACATACATACATACATACATACATACATACATACACACACATACACACATACATACATACATACATACATACATACATACATACATACATACACACACATACATACACACACATACATACATACATACATACATACATACATACATATAGACATACATACATACATACATACATTTTTCTCTTCAATCTTTCGGGATGAGATTTACGGGCGCTAAGTTCTTGAGGTTGTATTTTTGGACCTGGTGCCAAAAACGAGTTGCACATTCATTTAAGTAAATTCAACAGAGAAACTCAACCTTTGTTCAGAAACGTTGTGTGTACTCTTCGCATTTTCAACTCCAATTCCCAAGAAAGGCAATGGAGTTGAATTGCTGAGGAAGCCTACAACTATGACGCCAGCATTTGGTTGAATCGATCGATTTGCAACAGGCCTGGCGAAAGGTTTGTCATTTCATGAAGTCGAATTGCCTTTGCAAAACCAAACTAAGTTCGGCAGGAAACTGGAGAATTGGGAAGATGCGGCAACTGATGCAGAAATTGCCCAAGAACTAGATCCCAGCAATGTCAAAGTCCCTCAGCACTACTTGAAAGTAGTTGGCAGTTTTGACAAGTGTTGAATTGTTGACTGACGCACAGCTGAGCACATCAAAATGTGCTAACAGAGCCCACAGAGCCAGGCCTACTACAACAGAGCAATGGCCCTACAGCTTGGAAGCAAACTTGAAGAGGCGGTTGAGAACAGGTTTGAAGGTGTATTTTTGGCTCTTCGTAGCGTTGCAAAAAGGAAAGAAGGACAAATGGTGACGGTGAGAATAAGGAGGTTGATGAAAAAATACGTTTGGAAGAAAACCGAAACTACGATCTCTTCTTCACAGGGACTGAAAGTGTGCAAGAAAGGCTTGGAAGTCCAATCGGATAACAAGGCACGTGGTCCACATTGCACATGGGTGTGAACACACTTTTATTTTCACATGCCTTCATGTAGCGAAAAATTTGCTTTCACAGAGGCTTTACAACAGCTTAAGGCAGATTTGCAAAAAAGCATCAAGGAGGCTTCAGTGAATTCCAGCTTTCAACCAATACCATTGCTTGAATTTTACTCCTTCGAAAGGAGCAAGCTGCATGTCCTGGAGAAATTGCATCAGCTGCGCGCTGGCTTTTGTTTAGTGTGCTTGTTGGTGACAGCTCACAACAGCAAGACAAGTCATTGGTTTTCACGACGAGACAATTGATGGCAAAGGCTACTGTCAATGAGACTTCAGTGCAAGATGCAGTCCAACGGCCTCAGAGCTTCTGCCACGTTTTTTGACAAACCTGCATTCGCTTACAGATGCAGCTGAAAGCTTGCATCTTCAAGCAATTCTGCCAGAACTGGACCTGATGGCGAGTACCTGTGGCAAAAGGAAAAGCCAAGCGAAAGGGAGCGAGAGGCCTTGATTCTGTTGGCAGAACTGCTTCTGCTTTGTTTTCTTAACAAGCAGTGTGTCGTCCCAAGAAGGTGCCTAAAGTTCATGTTTTGTAGGGCCTTTCGCTGTCATTGTTCATTACTTGAATGATCCTTAATTGGACTCTTCATGTCGGGCTACCGCTTCATGCAGGGATACAAGCAGGCCATGCTTGTGAAGACCTTAGCCACTGTCTTCGATTTGGTGCCAGAAGTGCTGTTCTTGGACAAAGACCTTTCAGGACATGTTCCGATCAAAGTACGAAGAGCTGAAGCAGCGTGCTGAAGCGGCAAAATCTAAGCGATCAACCCTGCAGACAGACCACTATGAGGAGAACTGGCATTGGCTTTATTTGGCGTTCTCAAGCTTCAATGAATGCCAACCAGGACAATCAAAAGCAAGGGCTCATTTTGTCTGGAGGTCATAGACCTATGGACAGGTCACCCGACTGATTTAGCAGCCTTTGACTTGCATTGGGCTGATTGCGAACTTTCCACTCGACAAGATTGGGGCAGTCAGATTTCGAGCTGATTATTCTTCACCTCTGCTGCCCACAAGCAATGAGGGTATATAATCAACGGCATGGCAACACCCAACAACAGCTGCAAAACAGGTTTACGTCGACGTGAGCAACCGTATTTTAACGATTTGATAGCATGAGCTATTGGGGTTCTTTCTTCAAGTATAGGAAGCGTTTTCGAGCTTGGATGCTGGTGCCGCCGCACGGTGCCGCTGCTGTTCCAGTATGGCTGTGTGCGAGCTTGCGTGCTGGTGCCGCTGCAGGGTCCCGCTGTTGTGTGCGCTTGGGAGCTTGGGTGCTTGTGCCACTGCAGGGCGCTGCTGCTGAGCTTGGGTGCTGGTGCCACTGCAGGGCGCTGCTGCTGAGCTTGGGTGCTGGTGCCGCTGTAGGGCGCCGCTGCTGTATGCGCTTGGGGTGCCGCTACTGCGCTTGGGTGCTTGGAGCTCGCTGTGTGCGCTTGGGCGTGGGTGTCGGTGGAGGGTGCCATTGCTGCTGTGTGCGCTTGGGAGCTTGTGCCACTGCAGGGCGTGCGCTTGGGAGCTTGGGCAGGGTGCTGCTGCTGTATGCGCTGGGGGTGCGCTTGGGAGCTTGGGCCGCATGTCCGCCGTGGCCATGTGCATTTTGGTGCTGGTGCTGCTGCTGCGGTGTTGCTGTCAGATGTCTATGGCAGTGTGCGCCTTGGAGCGTGGGTGCAGGTGCCGCTGCCGCTGTACGATGTTGCTGTCAGATGTCTATGGCACCGTGCGCTCTGGGAAGCTTGGGTGCTGGTGCTGCTGAGGGTGCTGCTCCTGCTGCTGCTGCTGCCGCTGCCCACCAATATCTTTGTGCTATCTGGGGTCTATGCTGGCGTAATTTCTGCGCAGTGGCTCCGCGGGCTCAAGGTACTCACGGACTAACTGTGTGTTGACAGAGTGCATTCTTTCTTCCTAAGTGACAAAGTCAGTTCAAGACACTTCATAGAAAGACTAATATATATATATATATACACTGGGGTGCCAAAAGTTGCGCTTCTTGACTTCTAAAACATCACAAACCCTTTCCCCTTAGAATCCTACGTGCAACATGTCGACACCTCAGTTGCGGTCAGATTTCCACACCTGAAAGCCTTATAAATATCATAAACGGGTGTGGAAATCTGACCGTGCTGTACCTGCCACACAAAATGGACGTGTTAATCCGATCCGCTGTAGATGTTGGAACAGAGTAAGAAGCGTAAACTTTAGGGTTCTTGAAGTATATATATACACGAAAATATGGTGAGTGTATTCCCCCGATCACGAGCTATTGGGTTTCTCATTTCAAGTATAGAAAAAGGTGCTTGTGTGCCCTTTGGAGCCTGCATAGGGACGGTGCTGCAAGTGGCCCCACCCACCCCCCCACCCCCCTCCCCGCCCCTCCCACCCCCCCCACCCACCCACCCACCCACCCGAACTTCTCTGAACAAACATTGTGTGGTTGGCACTCACAACAAACGTCACCACTTGGCTCCCCCAACCAACGTCGTGTGGTTGGCATTCACAATACACAAAAAACCATGCGCTGAAAACTCACAGTCGCAGCCGCCGCTGTGAGCCACATGACAACAGGAAAGAATCCTGATTGGCTGGGGATGGTTCGTATTAGTATTCCAAGCGCACTCAAATATTTTTACCAGTATGTTGCAGTGAACTGTTTGCTTTGTTTGAGGCCAGAGAATGTAGATCTACCATCCAAGTACCAAGAACCTGTCGGGCTTTTATCACCATCAGAGCTGGAGGAGTCACCGGCTCAGAATCAAGCGTCCTGTGATTTCATCGGTCCATTTGAAGGCATGATTTAGATGATGATCTATATAGATTTCCAATGTGGTTTTACCTGTTTCGAGGTATGGCTGCGACAACAGAGATCGGAGATACTTGCTGTCAGTCTATGGCAATATATTTGATGTCTCCGACCGCTGGCACCTCATAATTTGATGACAGTTTTCTCAATTACAGTATCGACAGTTAGACGATTTGCGTCCCGTTTTCACTTTTGTGCACCTTTTGAACCTGAGGAACTTGCCAATATCAACACTAGCTGGAAGAAAAAGATGCCCCATGGGATCAAGCTCTCCCAAACCAAAGGTCGCCAGCCTCGACCACGCAGACTCAAACAGACTCTCCTTGTCACTCCTCACCAGAGAAAGTCGAAAGTCACTAGACTCCAGACTCCAGCAGATTTCCTCACAAATCACCATACTTACTGTATGTGTTTGGAGAGAGGAATTACAGTGGAGCCCCGGAGCACCATATGCACTGAGAGCCAGAAATCAGCAACTAACTCCAAAGATCTACACACATGCCGTCATATACCACCAATCTTCATTGGGAGAACGATCACCGGAATCACGGATGCGCTGAATCACTTCAAATAACCAGCAGTCGCGTATCACCAGAAAAGACCACACACACAACACGCTTCAGAATTTCCTAGACTGGTGCCTACAGTGGTAGGCCGAGGCAAACCTGGAGTCGGTAACTCCAACCATTCTAGTATCAAGTCTCAGAACACAGAACACACGGGGTGGAACAGCTGCAAAATACACTGTGGTCAACAACTACTGAATTTTAACCAAACCATGGCACAAGGCCAGGCAAGCAAGCTTTTGATGCCAGCCGACTGCCAACATTTTTCTAGACACTTGCTAGATTTTGCAGAAGCTTAGTTTGCTGAGCGAGCCGCCAGCTTGCAGGGCAACACCTACTCACCTTGACAAACTGGCATATTGGGTATTGTAGCTCCAAAGTCCGCTTGCGCATCCACTTTGCCCTTGTCACCTTGTCAAAACCTGGGTTTTTGTCATTCGTTCCATCAATGATTGAATTTGCTTTTACATTGCTGTGACATGGCTGCGCGCATGGCCATGCTTGCCGCAAGCAGAAGAGCTTTGCTTGGCTTTGTGGAACAAGGGTTGTCATCCCAAGACGTCCCAGTTGCAATTGACATCCGCCTTGACCTCTGAGGTCCCGACAAGTATGACCCGGATGGTCCCTATGCGAGCTTGACCGGAAAGGACCATCAGATAGGGGGGCCTGTTCTGCTGCATGACAGGTGGCATGAACTTGCAAAGATGTCTGAGGATTTGACCTGGGGCTTGTTTGCCGGCGTCGACACTGTGGAGTACACCAACAAGCTTCGAACCTGATAGCTTTGCTGAGCATGCTGATGCACAAGGTTGAAATCTGAAGTTGAAATAGAAAGTAGTTAAGTAGTAAGGAATGATCGCAATGAACAAGCGACAAGGAAGTCACCAGATTCGTCACTCTCAAGTGTGGTAGCCTCCTTCAACGGTGTGTTCGGGTCGAAGACACGCTTGTATTTTCTGAATTTGTGCCAAACTCGCTGCAGCATGTTGCCAAGGTTTTATGACCTTTTCAAAGCACGAGACATGGGAAAGGACGGCACGGAATGCTTGGCTATTACTTTATCCTGATCCTAAGGGCAAACTGGTTCAATGGCTTTCTGCAGCTTTTCTGGCATTGAGGACAAACTTATTGGTGTTTGCAGTTGGCTTGCTGCGACCTGAGTGGCTCTCTTCACACTGAAAAGATATCTGCAGTTATTTGCTCAGGCTTGGTATGAAACCGAGTATGGAAAGCCTGTTGGCAAGCTGGAGCTACCTCCTCGGAAACTCTTGAATAATGGATTTGGAATTGGACCCCTTTTGTTTCACTCTTTTTGGGCAGGCTGTGAAGATCGGGGTGAGAGGGAAGGGAGGATGATTGATTTGATTTCTAGATTTTCAACCTCAAGACTCAAGACCTTTGTGCTTGACTACAAGCGAGCTCCGGATATTGCTTGACATGTGTATGTTGTCTAAGAGCTGTCAGTGTGATGCACAAAGGCGATCCGGGGTCATGCCCTCACCACCTGGGACCTTTCCAATCACTGGATGAGAGAATCATATTTCTATATATATATAAAATTCAATTTCGGTTTCAAAGGCCATGGCAACGGGAGGCTGAACTGCCGGTCTGCAGCTTAGAACTTACTATGATACCGCAAATTCCATATACGAGAAAATACAGACAACGCATGACAACAACGCAATGTTTCTTGAACATTCTGGAGCTTCAGTGCATGTCGGGAAAGCAACTAAGCAACTGCTTGCCCATGCAGGCCCCGCCACTGGAAGAAATTGAGGAGGCGTGTGTGGCGGGAACCTTGACGTGCGTGTTAGCACGAAACGTGTTGTTATGTGAAGCTAAGCTTCTCTAAAAGTCTAGGAACCAAATCATTAGCTCCTTGAAGCGTGAGCTATCCTGCGACCATTTACTAGGAGCTTCCTATTGCTTGTAGCGTGTTTACTCCCCTACTCAATCAAGTGGGCGCCTACTTGATTAAGTAATTGAGGAGGCAGGCAGGGCCACTCGGGTTTTAAAAGACAATTTGTGATATGGAAGCCAGAGTACGTTCAATAGAGTGAATTTCTTGTATATACCTACCCATGAAACTTGTGTGCCTGCTTTTTGGATGTTCTTGTTGATGGTCGCAGCTTAACTTACTTCTGATAAGCTGGGTTCTGAGGTCATGTGAGTGAAGCATGTGGCCCAAGCTTCAGGACTGCTTCGCCTGGTTGTTTCTGAGCAGTCGCGATGATCTCAAGGTTCTCCATGTGCACATTGTCACAGGACCTTTCGGTTGCAACTTTTGGGATTGAATGACCTGAAGGAAAGACCGCTGCAGAGCTTCAAGGTGGATGGGAACACCGCAAGGTGATTTCTCGATGTACAAAGATCAAAGACACTTGTGACCGTTGCCACCCTGGTTCCCAAGATGGTGTACCAGGCGCGCTGAGGTTCGGAATCCTACAAAAGAAGCGCCCTTGAATTGACTGCATTTCTTCATGTGAGCATTAGGGGGTGTGGGGTGTCTGGGTTGCATCATATGGCGGACTTGGGAAGGCGGAAGCAGCACAGGGTGGGGGAAAGGCAACAAAATTGTGTATAGGCAGTCCAAAAAGAAGCAGCATTGGCATTCATGTGCGCATTGGCATGCGCTGTCAGAAGGTGTCAGAGATGCAACTGATAAAAGAAAGCATCGTAGGCATTGTTTTGGATGCGAGTTGTATTTTTGGCAGTGGGTGGGAGAAGATGGCAGCAGCGCAGACTGAACAGATAGTTTTGCAGCTGCCTTGCTGCTGCATTGCTATTCCTAGTGCTATTGCTCTTGCTGCTGCTCTTGCTCTTGCTGCTGCTCTTGCTGTTGTTGCCGCTGCTGTCCTGCTAAGCTACATTTTCCATACGTTTTGAGGGGGGATGGGGAGCGAACATGTAGCTTACATTTAGGGAGGTCCCCCCTCTACAATTTTGATCTTACATTTTAAAAGTAAGTTACAGTTTGGTAGGTCCTTAATTGTTTGACTATGCTTGACATGGTTTGGTCTGTACACGGAATTGATAACTCCCCCCAAAGCCGTTTTAGTAAGGGCGTTTGGAAACTTGACCAGACGATGTCATAGCACGGATTGGTCAAACAAGAAACGAGCAAAAAAGAGCGAACATCAATGAGAAACAAGGTTTCTATCTTGCTTCTTGGACTTGTTCGTTCTCAAATGGTCTTAAACCTGTATGCTTGCACCTAATTCTTCTAAAGCTCCTTCCAAGTTTCATATGTTTGCTTCCTATTTCTACGTACATACCACTGTTTTAGAGGCCTCCAAGAATGTAACTAACATTTTGGGAGGTTCCACTTTCTCCATGCCTTTCTGTGTTTTTTTCTTTTTCCCATAAACCTTTATCCCTTTTCTGATCTTTACTTCTTTCTTCCTAGATATCATTGGGTCCTAGGCCATCACCAGGTTCCCGGATCCTGACTGAGCTGCTCGTGAGAATCATTTACTGTACTACTGCATTTTACTGCTGGTTTCTTTCTTCTTTTCTTTTTGTCTTGCTTCCTTCTCAGCTACCGTTTGACTGTAGGGGCCTTGCGTGGACACTATTGACGGTTCTTCCTGTATGCATCTTTGGTTCTCTAGTTTTCAGATGTTTCCTTTGCATTTCTAGGTACATACTACTGTTTTAAAGGCGCTCAAAATGTAACTTACATTTTTGGAGGTTCCACTTTCTTCATGCCTTTCTGTATTTTTGCTTTTCCCTTTTTCATGCCTTTTCAGTCTTGTCGGGCGGGTTGCTTTATTGGCAGTCGATCACTACTGCCTTTGAGCGTGAGACGTCATATCCTCCGTTACTTCCCTACTACCAGAAGCTTCGGCTTGATCCGTCATGCCTTCGACCCTGCTTGATAGCATTGCTCTTCTTGCAAGCCATAGACTACTGTAGCTCCGACTGTGCAAACTTCCCAAAACTGTATGAAAACCAAGGGTTGTGCAGGGCAAAATTGTGTGATTATTTTTGAGGTCATTGTATCATTCCTCCATGCGTTTCCTGCTTTGCTGCTGCTGCTGGTGCTATTTTGCCTGCTGCTTGGTGGTGGTGGTGGTGGTGGTGGTGGTGTTGCTGCTGCTGCTGCTGCTGCTTGGTGGTGGTGGTGGTGGTGGTGGTGGTGGTGTGAAAGTTCGACACCTCGTTCGAAGCCGTCCTTTCAGTCAAACACAGTTGTTCTCATGTTTCCATACACGCACAAATCAAGAAGAGTACTGCAGTATGCATGGAAGCCTTTTCGTAGAAGCTTGCAGTTGACATGAACTGTTTTTGAGCTTCGTTCAAATGCCTGTCGCGCCCAGAGCGACATCAACCCGGGTGGTGCGCTTACGCATTGTCCGGGTGCACTCGGGTGATGCGCTTACGCATTGTCCGGGTGCATTCGATGCATGTCGCGTCCAGAGCGACAAATCGAGAAGTGTACCTCTCGCCACTGACTGTGGCTCAAGGTGTGACGCAAAAGGTGCGTTGCACGCTGGGACGGGCGTGGGCGATTCGGCTGATCGCGGCCGAGGGATTCCGTTCCATCGAACACGTTCGAAAAGGTTTCAACTGTTTTTTTTGGGTTCTCACGAGTTTCCAACTTGAAGTTAACCTTCATATGGTAGCGGAGCTCCTGCGGGAGCTGTAGGTTCCAATTCACTTAGGATAGGTCACGACTTTTCATCCATAGAGTTTGAGCCATGGCCGATCGTGATGGAACTGCACCTCAAAGAGAACGATCCAGAGGAAGATCTGAAACTCGGAGCCGAAGGAGTCCGGAAGCGCAGGGGGTAGACACGTCAAGAATAGAGAGATTGGAAACACAAGTTGCGCGCCTTTCAGATTCGTTGATATCTCTTGGACCAGCTTTGCAACAGGTGGTTCGATTGAGCACAAACCCAAACTTTGTTGCGCAAAGTGTTGCTGCCCCGACTGTTCTTCCGGGTTCTCAGATGCCAATCCCACCATCACAGGTGCCACAAAATCCTGCACCTGGTTTAGCCCAGCCTGATCCGACAGCCCGACCATCCGATCTAGGTAATCCGACTGATGTCAATGCAGACCCACTGCAGACATCCGATCCTTGGCGTAACTATACTTCGCCATCTCGAGAGGCTGGCATTCCTGAACGACCATTCCCTACGAGCCTGCCAGCCTCACCGGATCGTCAATTCCCGCCGTTCGGAGCTTCTCAGTTGAACTCGAGTGGATTGATTCCCCCACCACCAGGGATGCCACCCCTGCAATGCACAGGAGGTCCACGATCCATTCCGATTGATACTCCTCCGGGATCAATGCATGAGAATGGAGGGAGATGAAAACCCCTTCAAGAGGAGCGAGCGGTGGATGCCAAACATGCCCACTCCAGCATACGATGAATGGAAATCACGTCCTCAAGAGATCACCAAGTTTTTGTCTTGGGTAACTGATCTAGCTAGTTGGACTGGATTAGGATCCAACGCCTACCCTGGAGAGATTATGGGTTGTATCAAAGAGACTGAGCCTTTAGGTTGGCATCGTTTGCAACCCAGCCAGATTACCAGGTCAGTCAGACTTCTGTCCATCTTGAAGACATGCTTCATGAACCATGCCCGAGCAAGCCTGGTTATTCGCAACTATGAGGAAGCTAAGGGATTTCATCGATGCTGTGGATTCGAGTGTCTTCGATTGATTGCAAGAGAGTTTTCAATGAAAACCCACACAGAATTGTTGTTTTCAGGAATCAACTTGCCAATTGCACCGTTACCGGTCAAACGATTCCGGAGATCGTTCGAAAGATTCAGTCCGAACTGTTTCAATTCGAAAGAGTGTCTCAATTGGTCGATCCCAGTGTCAACATCAAAGGTCTTGAATTTGCTGAAGCCGACAAGACTTTGATCCTTTTGAGAGCCCTGCCCCAACAATGTCGTCAGTGGATTGTCCTGAACAATGCCGATGAATCCTTTGTCTCATATGTTGAAAGTGCCCTCACATATGAAGCCCAGCAACGAATTTGGCTTGATCTCAATGGCAAACCCATTGCCAGCCTGGGAGGTTTCGATCCAAAAGGCAAAGGCAAGCAGTCCAAAGGTGGAATAGGTAAGAATGACAATCAGGACAAAGAGGGCAAGGGAAAACATTTGGGTAAAGGTAAAGGCGCTGGATCCGGGTCAGAGACCAGAAGCTGTTTTCAGTGTGGTGAGCGAGGTCATTTGTCCGCCAACTGTCCCAATCGTGACAAACGCCGCGGCAGTCCTGAGAAGCAGTCCAAAGGTGATAAGGGGAAAGGAGATGGAAAAGGAAAGAATAGAGGGAAAGGAAAGAAGGGTGAGAAAGGTGGAAAGGGTAAATGAAAGGAAAAAGGGCCACTGAGTTTTCGCAACCAGAGTCCGAAGCCGGGTCCGAGGTATGGTCTGAACCAGACTTCGAAGACGGTGGTCGTCTTTCCACCTGCATGGAGCCTTCTTTGCCCGTTGAACCCTTCTTCATGTGCCAGAATCTTGATGATCATGATCCCCACCTTTGGCTGGTCGATTCCGGAGCTTCTCGAACCGTCGTTTCTGCACAAGCCTTGAAAGTGTATCGAGTGTTGAGAGAACGGGACATGACCACACCCATCAACTTTCGAACAGCATCCGGAGAGCAAGTATCTATTGAAAGAGAATGTATGTTAGAAGTGTTCTTTCCCACCATGATTGAACATGAAGACGGTGAGAAAGTCGAGGTTGTTCGATATGAAATTCGTGCCGTCATCGGACCTGTAGAGCACAATTTGTTGAGTGTTCTTGGACTCACCCGTATGGGAGCAACGTTCACGTTCGGTCCAAACGGCTGCAGCATCCAAATTGCCGACATTCGCAGGATGTCATGCGAGATTTGGGCCAATGTACCTTGGGTCCGAGCTCATCGAAGGCGTGGAAAGGACCGCAAAGGGGATGTCGACATGGAAGAAGCCCAGATTTTTGAGGCTTGGTCCGATCAAAGTCCTTCAAGTCAAGGTGGTAAGAGTCCAAGTCAGAGCAGCATCTCCAGTCCTTCAAAAGACACGACGTATCGCACTTCGAGTTCGGCCATTTCCTTCTTTGGAACCACATCCAAATCAACACACACAGGTCATGCCAAAGTGTTGCAGTTCGATGATGAACCAGAAATCCTTGAATTTGAGCCCAATACGATGTCATCCAAGCCATCGAATTTGCATGAATCATGGCCTAATGCACTGATCTGCGCTGGTAGCACATCGGATGACCATCCGCTTCCAGCCTCAGGTGATGTTGATTAGCCTATGGATCCAGTTCCAAAAGAAGATCATGCACCAGATTCCGCCCAGATCCAGGCAGCCGAACCGGCAAGTTATCAGCAGCTGAGTCGTAAGATTGAAAAGGAGTCAGTTTTGCACCGCCGACGAGGTCACATTCCATTCGACAGCCGCTGTGACCATTTGTGTTCGAAGTAGATCTGTTGTTCG